CATATGGAGATTCCTAACACCAAAAACATATATTCTCAGGAATTATATCACTATAGTCAACTTTGATTCCTTTAGTATACACGAAGGTTGTAAATATTAAGTCTCTAATGCTTCTTGACATACCAGATATAACAGATTTCTCAAAAAAAAAAAAAAAAAATCACTGAACCAGCAAGGCAGAACTATTACACTAGCTCTAGGAAGCAGAGACAAGAGTATGGACAACTTGGTGGCAAAAAAAGATCCTAACCCAAATATTCATAAATCAGATTCCTGTCAAAAGTTACTGTTAAACAGAAGACAGATCTAAAATACCTATAACTATTTTTCAAGGAAAAACCTGAACAAAGAAAAAAACGAGTTAGCAAAATTAACTTAAGATATAATCTAAATGTCATCTAGATGTGACCCAAATGTAAGGAAGACTTAAAACTTCGTTATATCCACATGGAAACAGCTATTAAAAAACTCAAACTTGTGTGTGGGAAGGGGAGAGGGTGTTTCAAGACTCTAGGCCTAATGGGTAAACAGCCACTTCAAAAGAGGGCGTTTCGAACAAGTGGAGAATTCAAATGCGAGAAAGGGACTGACTGATCACGAAAAAGTTTTCAAAAAAGCATTGTTCATTAGAAATTAAAGAAATTACAGCTTATTGACCCATAATTTTACGTCTTTGACGTATCCCTATTTCAAAACACTAGACTGCACTGAGCAACTTTCTATTATTAAAAGGAAACGTTTGCCAATTAACAAACAATCCAGGAGAGTCTACCAAATAACAGTCAGATAAAGGAAAAGGGGGGTTGTCCCAGCTAAAATCCAAAACATGCTTTGCTTCTGCCTTTCCCTTCAACTTGAAAACATACCATTTTACCACGATTTCAGAGGAGGAATACGCAGCTATAACAAAAACTGTGTTTTGCATGCGCAGACTAACTTTGGCTTTCTCTGAACAGCTCAGCTGCCTCAGTGTTAAAGCTCCGCTCCTTAAACGAAGAGCTGGACACCCTCAAGGACCTTTCTTACACCACAGACCAACGTTAAAACAGACAAAGGGAGGGTCCTGGCACACTTACGTCCTACTTTCTCAAATTCAGCAAAAGAACAACAGCGTTTTCGAGTCTCGGACTCTTTGTTGCCGCAGTTGGCACCACCTACCTGCAGCGTTGTGTCCTATCGCCACTATAAATGTCGAGCACACAAACGGCTCATCGGCAGAGCTTTCCGCAGACGCGCCCGACTTCAGGGTCCAGAGGACGTCGATCTCCCTGGCAAAAAGAGGAGAGAAGTGGAGCAGCGCTCCCCTGACCCGACCCGGGCCCAGGTCCCAGCCGAGGCCGCCCCTGGGGGTCCGTCGCGGGGGATACGGGCGAGGCCGCCCCTCAGCAGCGAGCGGAACGGCCGGGGTGCCCTCTGGGGCCGCTACCTTTTCTTCTCCAGCTCCCTGCGGATCTCCCGGTCCTCAGGCGTCTCCTCGCGGGCCTCCTCCGCCGACTCCTCATCGTCCACGCCGGCGCGGGACGGCGCCACTACTACCTCCCCAAAGAAAGTCGCCATCGCTGCCGGCCCGCCCCTCACCGCGCCGGGGCACCGCGCCTGCGCGCCGAGACGCCCTGGTTCCGCTCCGCCTGGCGACGCTCTAGCCCCACACCCGACA